GCCCTACATTTTTTACGTCAGTCAGCTCTTGTAGAGACTAATCAATCTTCATATGAGACATGTTGAAATTCCTTAACAGGACGAGTTGATCTGATGCAGTGGAGATAGTCCCTTGCCAAAAGTGTGTTTTGTTTAGTTCCATTTATTTTCCCACCAAAACTAACCTGCTGAAAAGAATCTCCACATTATGGTGCTGTAACCACTCTCAAAACCTTCCGTCATTTTTTTTTTTGTCCACATCACAATTAACCTTTTGTGTTTTTCACCACATATCATCACAATAAAGCACACTGAAGTCTGTTGTTAGAACAAAACGTGAAAGAGTTTCATTGAACGCTCTTGCAGGGCAGCATATTCCACGGTGTCACCTTAGGTAGAGTGTGACTAATTCGTTTTCTGGTTTGCTCTAGACTTGAGTTCAAACTATTTATCTGCGTTTCATTCGCAATAACGTGCACAACCCGCAGTGTGACACGAGCCGGTTGAAGGGTGTGTACTAACTTGCGTCAGAAGGAGTGCACTTTTAAGGAAGTAGTCCAACTGACATGCAATCATGACACAAAGCCAAGAGGACAATAAAAAGGTGAATAAATCATAGAAGTTCCGTCTCACATAAATGAAATGCGTACGTAAACCGCAATAAATATGTTAAAACTTTTTTTGCTTGAAATTCAACAAAAAGGGTTTTCACATTTCACCAAGTTACAATCATAATCTTCGATGTCACTTATTGAAATTTTATGTAACAAACCAACACAAAAGCAGTACATAACTGCGAAGTGGAGGTGCAACCTGATTTCCAAAACATTTTACGAATGAAAATCAGCAAAGTAGATGTGCATCTCTAATTCACCCCCATCAAATTAATCAAACTAGACAATATATGTGATTTAAGTTGTTCTGTAAAGGTTTAAGAGGTTAGTTAGAGGACATTAGTGAACAAACGGCAGCATGAAGAACAAAGAAGACAGCAGAAAAAGAAGCTCCGGTAAAAGCTTGTGTAGAAGCTTGATTAGATTATAAAACAACACCCTAAACTTTGAGCATTTAACAAATCATTACATGATTTAAAAATATGAAGATGCAAGGAATCAAGTCAAACAAACACTGACAGCTTCACATTATGGCTATTTTCTAAAGATCAGTGGCCAAAATGTTGTTTGTATGTGTGCAAAGTTGGAAGAGACATGTTACAATACTGACACCTGTTAATTGAAAGGTAGTTCTGCAATCTGCAATCTGCAAAGCTAAGTGGGGGTTGATACAAATTCCTGTCACACTTTTCAGATTTGTGTTGGTAACAGTAAGCTCAGACTCATTACAAAGCGCACTGCTTTTGGTTGTAATATGAGAAAATGTGAAATTGTTCTTGGAGCATGATGACGGCCAAACACTCTAAATTTTAAATATTTTATAAATTGTATTTCCAGTCTAAAATCCCCAAAGCCCAGTGGAGTGTGTGCCGTGTGCTATTCTTAGAGGTTATTTGACTCAGTAAGCAGCAATACTGGAGGGATTTTTCTACCCAATAATTACTGTTCACCTATAGTGCCAGACTCCCCTCTCGGCAGCATGTCCTCGTCGCGTCTCGTGGGATCAGTAACGAGGATGTTTCCCTGGAAACTGGACAGCTATAGGGTGCACAATTGTGTAATCCCTGAGCTGCTGACAGAAAAATAATGGCTTTTGGGATTTTCAAAATATCCCAGCAAACGCTTGCTTATGATGCCTCCATTTCTTCAGGCTGGACTACATATTATGCAATCATAAAGAAAAAAACATGTTGCAACGAAACTATTGTGTGATCATTAACATCATTTTGAGTGTTTTGGACACTCAAAAAGTAAAAGCTATCATCTTAACATTGTTGTTATTCAGCAGAATAAATCAAAGCCGTTGATCGATTGATTGTGGTTCTCGCTGCTTCGAAATGATGTGTTTGTGCAAGTCTTCCCACACACTGCCACTCAATATTAGTCTCAGGAAATGGCCATTCAGACACACTGGGAAGCCCAGACTGAGAATGCTCTGTGGTTTATGTAAGACTCCCACCAGAATTTTGCTGGAAATTATTGTTTCCTCCGAGGAATCCCACAGACATATGAGAATTTTTTTAAAACAATAGCTTCTAGTTCATGTTGTCATGTTGCTCCAACCAATTATTCTGTAGAAATGCTTCGTGTTTTAACTGGTAAGACTGCAAGTCTTACCAGGAGGAATTAAATGGGTCACAGACCTTCAGTAACTGTTTTCACCATTTTCTGCAGCTCTCCAGTAACCTGCTCGAACCTGACATTGGATTGCAACACTTCAAGAGTGTTCAGGCATGTCAGCCTCAGAAAACAATGTTACATACTGCAGGCAGTGACAATGCAGTCTGATCACTGACGTGCAATTTAGTCAGCAGCACACACAATTAATTGTGATTTATGACTTAAGGTCAATGGTAAAAATCCTATAAAATAAAGAGGAAAATCAAATCAGACAGCTTCACCACTAAATTTCCAATTTTTGCTTGTTGTAATCTGTAAATGAAATTCAGTAATGTAGTACAAGGGAGTTTTAATTTTGAAAACAAAACAAAAAAAAATTCCACTCAATTCATTTACATACAACTAAGCACATTTAAGCTCTTTGTCTTGTCTTATGCATGGTGATCTTTGTCATATGAAAAAGGACAGAGAGTACGATTTTCTGAATTTGCTTTTGTAAATAGGTGCAGTCAAGCAACCAAATATGTTTACATTTTAAATAAGGATTTCAAGAAAAAGCTGTAATAACTAATAATAATTGTTCTCCAGAACCACAAGTTTTATTATTCACAATGAGATCTTCTTACTAATTATTTGATTAAGTAAAGTGGCTGCACTGATTCCACTACAACTATGATTAAAGGGAATTTTTAGCATGAGAGAATAAAAAAATATTCCACCAGAACTGTAGGAAGTGCCCTTCTTTGGTCAGACTGGTCTTTTCAAACATCATGGAGCCTCTCAGACCCCACCGGCTGGATGTCTAGTTGCCTTTGGTTCTGCCTTCCACAGGTTTTATCATGAGAGAAACATGATAAGCAACCATGCTGTCCTTATACTGTTATTGGACACTTTCTCTTAGCTTTATATGTTATTACAGAGCAAAACTGGACACAAAAGAGAAAAAAAAATAGATTAATATAAGTCATTTATATTAATCTTATATTTTAGTCACTGATGCTATGGCTTAGAAGAAAACATTTATTCTTGCTCATCTTTACACAAAATTGAGAAACATGTTTGATAAATGTTTTCAGATGACTTAGTGCTCCAATCCATCCAACATATGTGTAAGCTCGGAGGAGGTTTGGTGACTGCAATCAATTTGCATTGTGTCAAAACATAGAGGCATGTAAAACTTTCAGGACAGTGTCTTGAGGACCGTAGTTGGGAAATGCTGCAGTGCAGGGTGTGTTCATGGGCAACAGTCTTTCTTCCAGAGCAAACCACCCAATATCTGTGTGTAGAGTCATAGTCAATAAATTATAACATACACCCTAATGAGTCTTGATTCTCAGATTAAAAAGTAGCTTTTGAAAAAGTAACCTTTAATCAGTTATTAAAGATATCTTTCCTAAAAAAACAAAAAAACAAAAAAAACATTTATTTATTTATTTTTAGAAATAATTTGTTGGATATATGGATAATGTGTGTTATTGGTCTGATGCAATATTCTGATGTTAGTTGTGAGAAATCATAACAGAACTAAAGGCTCGTAATTAATCTATAAAATCTGTTCCATTTAGTGATTAAGTTTCTACAATAAACAGGCTTGTGAATAATATTCTGATTCATTCAATGGGTTTGTATAAGTGGAACGCCGTGGGAACAGGAAGTGGACGGGAACCCATGCAGCAGGTTAGCAAAAGTGGAATTTGATTGCAAAATAAAGAACATGAGGCGTGAAGACAGATGCGGACTGAAGCAATCTGAATATGTCGTTCCTGCAGTTCCAGTTTACCTAAGATTTTTAAATGGTTCTGAACTTGTGGTGTGAGTAACATTTCCTGTTGTAGTTGTAAGAAACGTTTTGGCATCAGCCATTTAACACTATTAGGCTCGTAAATTTTCTAAGATAAACAGCAATGAAAAGTTAAACAACAGAGATAATGAAAAACACAAGTGGTTCATATACAATTGCTAAAGTTTCAACTCCTGTGTTTTGGCAAACAATGGCCGTTAGTGAATTCATCAGTGGATGCAATTCTTGCTCAGTCTCTTTCTCACTATTGAAACATGAACACTTATCCCATTTGAGGTCTGCAATTCTTTGACGTACTATGGTGCATTGTTGGAGTAGTTTCAGTAACCTGGAAACTCCTATGAAGGTTCACCACTGTTCAACATGTTCCATTGTTGAAAACGGCTCTGACAGGGGTTCAAAGGTCCAAAGTCTTATAAATGGCTATGTAACCCTTTCCAGACTGATACATGTAATTGCCAAGAGATTTTGACCTACTTCAGAATGATTCCATTCAATAAAATTCTTGATTCTAGGTTGGGCAGTGAGTTGCCACAGAAATTGAACCTGTTTGAAGTGGAAATCTTCCATGATCATTCTTCAGATGTTTCATCATAGCTTAAGATTTGTTTTCTTCTCATAGCTCGTACTGTACATAGTTCTTATCTCTTTGAGTGTAACACAAACATTCTTTCTCTCTCTTTGTCTCTCTTTTCTTAACACCATCTGTGCATGAATGGGTGAATGGTTGAATGTAGTACTGAGTCCTTAGATTTAATAAAGTGCTAAACAAATGCAGGACCTGAGTGAGACTCTCCTACCAACTTCACGAGCTCTTTCACTTTTATTTTAAGGTACATTTAGTACCAATATATGTTAATCTCTGGGATAAAGATCGAGTCTCCTTCTTACTTATGACTGTTCATCCTGCATCTAAAAACATTATATAGCAGTTCTTCCTCCAGGTCAGCGGGGGCGCTGCTGCGCTCAGCGAGGCCGCTTGTGGGAGCCGGAGCTCGGTGTAAAGCTGGTTGGTTGGCACGGGCTGGTTGGTCGGTCGGTTCATGGTAGCCATGGCTCGATTTGCTGCGCTACTGCTGTTACCGGTTCTCATTGAATCCGTCGTTTCAATTTCTTTCTTTTTACCGGTCAACTCTAGAAAATGCTTACGAGAGGAGATCCATAAAGACGTCCTGGTTACGGGGGAGTATGAAATCAGCGAGCAGGCGAACACCAAAACTAACCTGAAGGTGAGCATATACTGGGGGCCGTTGACGCCAAAACACAGTTCAAATAAAACCAAAATGGCTTTTTATTGTTATATATCAGTAGCAAAGAGAAGTAGCTGCGACACAGTGGGATAGTTTATTCTTGTAAGTTTAATTTGAAGGGCTGAAGGATTTTAGTCAGTGACAACTGTTGTTAGCATTGCTGCTAAGGTAGGCCCGAAAAACTCGTCTTCCTGGTTTTACAGTCAGCTAGCTAGCTAATGCTCTGTCAATGTTTTCTCACTTATTGGTTTTGATATAATTTGCTTGTTGTATAAACTCTGATTACTTTGACGCCAGCCGTAAAACCCATTGTCAGTGTTTGCTCTGCATTATTTAGTTATATTTACAATATTTATGTAGGTGTCATAGTCTCCGCTGTGTAGCTGTTACACGTCACTCTTACAGACTGCTCAGACACATACACGTCAGATTTAGTTTGTGTGTAATATTCACATGAACCAGGCCTTGGGAAATTTTGATTTATATTAATGGCCCATAATGGCGTCTGCGACCACACTTTTTATGTTTTCTTAAATCTAAAAATATATTTTAAAAAGCCAACAGCTGTCAAGATTAGAATTTGTATGCTGTAAAACTAGAAATCAGGGATGATATCTCAAATCTATTTTATTTTCCCATCTTCATCATAGTTGAAAGTAAAAAGTGTTTGTTTTTTCAGTCTGGAAACACAAACGCAAATGGAATATTCTGGGAGGTACTTTATGAATTCATTAAAGGTCATATTTGGGTCATTAGCTTGCATGAATGCATGGATTGGAATAATCCTGAATTTTCTGTTTTGATTCTAAACAACTTTCTGCACATTTTTTATTTGATTGTTTCTTCATATGTTAATGAACATGTTTAAGCAGAATGCTTTTTTAAAATGTATTATAATCTGTGCTAACAGTAATGCATTTAGTGTGCCAGATGGTGCAAACTTGACAAAGTTTGCAAACCACTTGCAAAGGTCTGCTGCCCCTTCACATTCGGAGGGGCAGCAGACTAACACATCAAATATGTGACTGCAACAAAGTTAACAGCTGGTTGCTTCCAAAGTTGAAAAAGTCTTAAATACTCATTACAGTCAGAATCTGCTGAATATGATGGATTTCAGACTATTTATTAACATGAATGTATTCTCCTGAATTTAGTATTTCAGTACAGATGATTTAATATTGATTTTATCAGTGGTGAGTGAGGTAATAAACCTCTGACCTCCTCCTGTTGACAAAAGTGTTGCTCTTATTCTATCAGCAACAGAAGATGTTAAAAATACTAAGGAAAATAAAAGGCTGCAAAATACAAAAGAAATAGTTGAGCGTTCTGAACGTTGTTAGACAACCTAAAAGATTCACACAGTTCTGTTAATCTGCAATCTTTTATCAAATTAAAAAAATATATTTGGAATTTGTTTGTCACTGTACACAGGTACAGTGAGATTAAAGTCAGCGACAACAGTGCAAACAATGCAGAAAATATGTACAATATAAATATGGTGACATTTACATTATTAACAATATTAAATCAGGTAAATGTATATACACATATAACCACCATAATTAGTTTTCTTTTATTGAAAATAATTAATTTAAAAAGGATTTTTCAAACTACTCCAAAAATGTTGGCTATGTTCTGCCAGAATGTCTAAATGTTTGTTGTTGTAACTTTGTAGATCACTGACTCTTCCAGCCACACTCTTTACTCGAAGGAAGATGCAACAAAAGGAAAGTTTGCCTTCACCACAGAGGACTACGACATGTTTGAGGTTTGCTTTGAAAGCAAATCACCCATGGGTAAGCAAAATCGCAAAGCAATTAAAAGCTTATCAGAGGAATCTAATCAAAATGCAGTCCTATATTTGATTGTATTGTGAATCCCTCATATTATTCTTAATAATCTGGAGACATTTTTGACGTATTTAAATCCTCAAAAGTTCAGATAAATATAACTTTTTTTTGTTTTTTTTTTTTTTTTTTTAGTTTACTGAGAATGTTAATTGTCCTTTGCAAAATAAGCAATCACAATGTTTAATTTCAATTCTGTGAAAATCCACAGGAACAGGAAGAGTGCCTGACCAGCTGGTCAATCTGGACATGAAGCATGGTGTCGAGGCCAAAAACTACGAAGAGGTAAAGTGTCAGGAGACTGAAATCTGTGCTTCCTGATGTCGAATAAACCCGATCCAAATTGTAGATAAAATGTCTTGCGTACGCTCCCAGTACTCTTACAGATGGGATTTTTACTCCCAAATGTGCTTGAAATATGCCAGCGTGAATGTTTCTACTCCGATTTTAGTGCTGTGTTCAACTATCAAGTTGGTTGAGTTAGAAAAATAGTACAAAGACGGAGGCGTTTTGAAATGAGTGTAAAAGTTAGTTTGCTTCCTTTGTACAAACAGTTGCGTGGGTGTCTTTTGTCAACATTGTGAAAATGACGTTTTTAAGAAACGGCAAGTAAACCTAAAAATTGAAATGGTGCCATGACAAAAATGATGGACACGGACTTTACATAAAAGTGGGAATCTGCCGTTGGGCCGTCTTAGGATCCATCTGCGTCAGGTGATTCTTAATGGTTTCAAAAAGGAAGAAACACGTCGCTCGTAGCTGAGAATCGCCTTTCTCTGCCCACACATGTTGTGCAAACATTACATACTGTTCAGCTGAATGGCGCGTCGGTGGATATTCACAGTTGAACTTGAAGAGGGCATTCCTGTCTGTTGGAGGAAGGGCGGAGCTGGTGTTACGCATGTATTAACTTACATAATGCTTGAATAAATTTGCAACCTGTTCAGTAGGGGGTGTACTTGAAAGAGAAGAAAAATGTCGTTACACAATGCTGTCTGCGTGGCAGACACAATCTGTGCTGTGAAACTTTTTTTTCCCTTTTCCTCCTGATTATCAACTTTTCTTTCTGACTGCACAGGATTTCATTGATTTCAAAGGCTGTGTTTGATTAATTTAGCTCATTAAGGGGGGGATGAGGGTTTTTTTTTTTAATTCTTTGACATGGTTAATCTTGTGTCTTCAGTCAAGTGAATAAAATGTTTGCCGTGCCAGATCTGATAAGCTTTTTATCTTTCCGTGTAACTTGGATTACGTCTTCTGGACAGGAAAACGCTACGTAACCATTTTTCCCTTTTATAACTCGGGAACTTTATTAAGATTTTCCTCAAACTTTGCCCCCAACAGTACAGTAGCTTCAGTGCCCATCACTCAACCGAGCACGGACCGATCTGATGTTTGAACACAACGTTGGTAAATTTTGTTCACCAAACTGAGTGACTGAATGAGATGTTCCTTTCTCCAAAGCCAATATTTAATGTTTCACGATGACCCACATGTGTATCAGCACAGAGTGTGGGTGCATTCCTAGAATGTTTTGCAAGATTTGTTGACTTATGATAATATCTTCATGTACAAGTACGGTTTTCCACAAATATTTCCGGTCAGCGTTCCCCTGACCTCTGCTCTGATAAATCTGTTATACCGAAGGAAACTGGCAGAATGAAGGTCGTAATATGTCGTGAAGCATATAGTTGGTACAAGCAGGGAGTCCAAGACTAAGAATCTCTGATTCCTCAAGTTTTGTTATCTGAATTTGTTTTACTTTAAACCATCCAGGGTTAGTGTTGTCTGTTATCAAATTGTGCTCTGTAATCCCTCAGATGAATGGGAAGGGGAGGAAACTCCATATATAGTAACAAATAAAGGTTTCGCGCCACTCCTCAGTTCATTGTCTTGCCTCCAAGGAATCGAGACGTTCTTATCATATTCTCAAGTGGGCTTGAGCAATAATTATTACAGTGTCTTTATTGTGGCTATTTTAGATGTTTCCAACAGGAAGAGAAAGGCAAACAACACCATCAAATTAAGTTGAAAGTATATATAATTTAAATCTATTAAGGGATCTTACTCAAGTTAGTTTTATAATTAATGTAGGTTTTATGTTTTTGAAATTTGAATATTGGCCTTTAATTTTCTAAACCTTTCAGAACTGCTGTTGTTTTGTTCATGATCAAAATCTCCCTTTTCAGCCACCGTTTGAATAATGTTGGTGTTCAAATCTAAGTGAAAGGGAAAGCCTAGCAAATATTTGCCCTATTTGTGATTTTTAGCTCAAGAGTGACACCTGCTGGACTGAGCATTCAACAATTTCAAATGTTTTGTGTTCCGCTTTATTTTGGAATGCCAACATTTTATTTAGAGGTTTTATAAGCTTTCTGTTTCTCTTATTTTATTTTATTGTCCTTCCAGATTGCAAAGGTGGAAAAACTGAAGCCTCTGGAGGTTGAGCTCAGGCGACTGGAAGATCTGTCTGAGTCCATCGTCAATGACTTTGCTTACATGAAGAAGAGAGAAGAGGAAATGCGGGATACCAATGGTACGCCAACACAGTACTTACACAGATTCGTACTTTTGCGCAATTGCATAATACGTATGTAAAATGAACATACTAGCTGGTGACTCTTCTGCCTCTGAAAGCGGCTCTTCCTAACTTAGGATAATAATTATGTGAAAAAAAATGTTTCTAATAAAGGAAGGTTTTTAAACTTCTCATCATAGATCTGTTCTAGCAGATTGAATTTGACTGACTGCTTCTCTACCATTTTCAAAAATATGAAAATGACTGAGAGGAGTGAATTCTTAAAAGTAAACTTATTTTTTCTTCAATCTAAAAATAGAAATACAATTAATCAGTTTTCACAATAAAACTAACTTTAATGCAGTGTATATTTGTGAAACCGACAAGGTTTAAGAAAGTTTTGTGGCTTTAAACAAATGTTATTTTATTGGGCAGGAATTGCTCTTTGAACTGAAAAGGCTGTTGATGCCTAATCTGAAAGCTAGATGGTTTTTAATTTATTGCAGGGATAGCAAGAATTTCTTACTGTCCAATAACACTAGCGTTTTTAATTTCTCCACAGAGTCTACAAACACACGCGTGTTGTACTTCAGTGTGTTCTCCATGTGTTGTCTCATCGGCCTGGCCACGTGGCAGGTCTTCTACCTGCGGCGCTTCTTCAAGGCAAAGAAGCTGATCGAGTAGATCGACTCATCCGGCTGCTTCCCTCGAGGGACGCTGCCTCCCAGTCAGCAAACACATCCCAGCAATCCACTCTCCTTGGACTAGCTTCAACAAAACAAGCGGGGTTTAGGGGGCTCAACATCTAGTTTTCAAAGCTCTGAGAGTATCCATGTTTCCAGGAAAATAAGATTTACCTGCTTGTTTAGTAGTTGGAAACATGAAAACCCTGTAGGGAGAAATGCTTTGTCAAACATGGGAGAGAGAAATTTCTTTCTACACTGTTTTTGAATGTTACAGCTGACTGAATAAGATGGATTTTGTTTTTCCATCAACCCTTTGAAAAGTTGGTTTCTTTTTATTTCTGAGCTCGGTCTGAGTGGATGTGCCACAAGTGAATGTCTGCCCTTCTGTTAATGTACACATTATTTACAAGGCCACATAAACTAAACACATTTTTATTAAGTGAAGGCTTTAAGAAACATGGTGGGTTGTTCCTTTAAGACAATTGGAACCACTGAACTTCTGTGTTGTCACTTAAACTACATATATGTTCGGTAGCTAAAATTAACTCTTTAGTTTGTTTTCATATTGTAATTGCCACCTAGATGCTTCTACTGGTATCTTTCTTTGGATTTTGCGGGGCGGGTGGGAGTTGAGTTTTCAGATTGATGTTCTCAATTATAAATTCTCTTTAAATTTTCGCATGTTCAGATGTTCTTTTGTTTTTGAACATCCATTAAAAGTATCGAGGAACCAATATTCTTATATTCAAGCGATTCCTCTTTCCCCTCTTTAATGTATTTATGCAATCTTTCTTGTCGAAATGCAGTTGTTGGCGACTGTGACGGGAATTGAACAATTATCCAAACGTGCACCCTTTTGCTTTAAACTGGCAACTCCAAGTTACAGCATATCACCTCCCAGTACCAGAACCTGCTGATCCATCCAGTGTTCCTATTTTCATTCAAGTGTTTGAGGCTGGGGTCATGTGAATATGGGTGGTTTCAGATATTAATGTTTTTGTTTTGGTTCTTTTTTTTTTTTTTGACAGGAAATGTTGAAGGCTGTCCTGGTACATTTTTAACAATGAACATCTGCATGGAGCATAGTCAATTTTTATGTTGACTGGCAAATTTTGTAAATTTGTGTTGGGCTTTTATTCAATAAAATATTGGATGGATTTACATGAGTTATTTTGTAGTTTAATCTATATTTTTGAAGGGGAGAAATATACATTTTTGTATCAGAAAGTGGCTCAGGGTTAAAATACATATATGAACCAAATTTCAACCAATAAAACGACGAAAAAACTGATAGGCGACTCGGTGTTGTACCCACAACAGCGCCCCCTGCTGTGAAAAGAACTGTCATATTTGCAGCTTAAACATTTCATTTCCAATAAATCTGTGAAAATTAAACAAGCTTGCCAACAGACTTTAAGATTTTACTACTATTAAGAGTATATTTATGTACTTATTTTTAAATGGGGTATACGGATTATTTAATGGCGGCCACTGTAGAAAGCATGTCACTTTGACACTTGCTCAGCTGGTCTACAGTCGCAGAATGTGCAAATATCAAAATAAAGCTAACTACAGATGGTGGAAAACAAACGATTTTTGCTTTCGCCCTTTAGTCGGTTTTATTGGTGAAAACAAGTGCTATAATAAAGGGAGACAGACGGAACACTTTTTTTGCTACAACACCGGATGTTCTTTACAAGTACTTCCTGGTCAACATTAACAGTAGAAACTTGCAGTCTTCTTTTTCTGACGGTTCGTTGATTTAGAAAACAACTATGCCGGGCCCCGACAAAGAAACCGACCTGACTGAGCGGGTTGAAGCCTTTCTGTCCGACCTGAAGCGCGGAGGTAGCGGGGCGGGACCTCTGCGGGGCTCGGCGGAGACTGCCCGAGAAACGACCGCACTGCTTCGCAAGATTACAGCCCAAGCTCGGTGGAGTAGCGCAGGTTCTTCTCCTCACTTGATTTATTTTGACAACCTCTGATAATAATAATAATAATAATAATAATAATAATAATAATAATAATGCAGAGGACTATATTACTGTGAAATTGGCTCTATTGTTGTTGTAATGTGTGTGTGTAGTTTGTTATAATCTGTGAACATCTCAGACATCTGCTGTAACATCTGTGAAATCGTTGAAATAGGGCGAGTTACGTCATGGTTTCTTATTTGTGTACGTTTACTAAATTGAGCAACATTTTTGCCACATTTTTTTTTTATAAATATACTAGTTAAAAAACTAATAAGTAATTTCTCTACAATGTTATAACAAAATGAAAAGGGGCGATTTAGGGCAGAGGTGTAATTAAAGCAACAATATAGTAACAGCTACTACGTATATTAAAACGTTTTTTTTTTTTTTGTTGATTGCTGCTTTTAGGTGATCTGATGGAAATAATACGGAAAGAAGGGAGGAGAATGACGGCCGCCCAGCCGTCAGAAACCACAGTGGGTAACATGATCAGGAGGGTCCTGAAGATCATTAGAGAGGAGTACGCCAGGTGAGGACAGACAGCTGCGGAGACAGATATGTTCATGCACTGGGAACGTAAGACAAAAAGACAACATCAAGTAAAACAGTGCTGTTTGTAGCACATGAAATATCCCAACTTATCACATCACTGTGAAATGAGTATTTTTCCATATGCAGTAATGACAAAAGAAAAATAAACCTCAATTCTAAGATTTTATGAATCAGAATATATGACATATGATTGTTTGTTCATCACGTTCTACTAGATTTTCTAGATATTTAGTCAAATTCTTAATTTAATATAGTGAATATTTTGTCAGTTAAAATGGAAAGCTTGTGGACAGACTAAGTACCACTCACTGCTTAAGTAGGATTAAAGAGAAAAAAATGGGTACTAAAAACTGCTAATAACACATTAATAACCGTCAATCCAAATTTAGACAATGTAGTGCTTAGAGAATTAGCAAAAACCCCAATACCTGCATTTCAGACCCTGTAAAGTTTAAATATGAGAGACTTCTGATAAATGCAGTTGTAGAAAATTCTGAATCATAAGACGACTTTCCACGTTAGCCTCAACTTATTTTTAATTAAATATTTTTAACAATCTAATAACACATTTTTTGCATAGCTAAGACTGCACTTACCTCATGTAGATTTGCCTCTACTTTGTCTTTGTGTTTCCTTTTATGGAAGCACTATTTCTCAATGTTCATTCTGCAGAGTGTAACAAAAGTGTTTGAATCAGAAGTCCACATGCTACTTTAGCAAAAGGGTTCACCTTCAAAATATGCTTGGCACCCTAGAGTCACAAGAAAAAAATAAAACTGTTAAAAAATTGACATGATGTAAAACTGTTGAGATTTTCTTCCTCAGGTCTCGAGGGAGCAGCGAAGAGGCAGACCAGCAGGAGTCCCTCCACAAGCTGCTGACCTCTGGAGGACTCTGCGAGGAGAACTTCAGGCAGCATTTTGCTCCCCTCAAAGCAAATGTCATTGAGGCCATCAACGAGCTTCTCACTGAGCTGGGTAAGATGGTGGAGCTGGTTTTACAGAACTGAACTACCCACAGCTGAAACCCACAGTGCTGCTTACTCACTGATGTTCTCTAAAAATCTCTGCGGCCTTCACAGAACACCCGGATTTATGCAGGTTTTTTTTTTTTTTTTTTTTTTTTTTTTTTTTTGGGGGGGGGGGGGGGGGGGCGTGGTTTTTTTCCGGTTT